CATTGCTTAGTAGTGTCGTTAGATAAATTTCTCTGTCTGTACTGCAGATAGGTCCAGTCCGCCTCAGGATCTTCACCTGTTGAGGAAGTGACATTCCTCGGTTTGGTGATCCGCTCTGACACCAATGAAAAAACAGGAACTTTTGTACAAGATACTAAACCAGAATATGTAAGTGCCACATGTAGTTTCCAATAAAAACACACAGTCTTTATTGCTATCCCCGCAGGGCACAACATCTGATACACAACACAGCTGTTGTAATAGATACATTACACAAACACTTCTATAGAACAGATTCTACAACCTATTCTACCCAGAGTTACGCGATATCACACACACGTGATTCGCTCCTGAACATGTTCCTAATCTACCCAATGTAACGCAACAACAGTTAGGAAACCTATCTCTTTCACTCAACACAACAGATCAAATGGCTCTCATTGTTTCTGAGTTCTTCAAAGACCAATTTTAGAAGAACTAGTCGGCATATGAACTATTCCCCCTCCTTTTATAGTAGTAGCAACCAACAACTCCTATAGCCCTAAAAGCAGCTCCCCCTTAATCCGAAAGGGCAACATAACTACTCCTATTGATGTCAGACCACCAGTCTCATCAACTTTTTCTCAACAATAAGTAAACCCACTTGCACATTGACTTTGTGCACTTGTGTCAGAACTCCTTGTTTCCCGAACCCGACTTCCCGCGTACGCTTCACGGTAGTGCGGTTCCCAACTCGAGGTGCCACTTGGCGTGCCTAGTCACAAAAGACCTTTCTCCTTAGTTTGCTGATTATTCCTTCCAGTTTCTGTGTAGCACATGAACTCTTCACTGCTTCACTGATCCTGTTGCTTCAGCATGTTTCAGCAGATTCTTTTGCACTAACACATCTATGATATACGCTCGCTTATTATATCCAAGTAATTCTGATTTTTTTTTAAACTCTTGCTACAAATGTTGAACTATATAATCATTAAAAAAAAAAAATTTTAACTTCCATCACCAATAAAGAGAAATATCTTTTGGTTTGTAGGCATGTGGATGGCTTCGAGCAAGGAAAATGATTGATGTTTCTTTTCACTAGACCGGAGTCCAAAAATACTTCATCTGGTTTGCTAACTACGACCGTAAGTACAAATTTCTTCAAGAGCAAGTATTTCAGAAACCAACCATCATACTGGAATAATTCGTACACAAGTCCAGATGAAGTCTTTTGGTGTCTAGACAACAAGCATGGTTTGTATTGTCACCTTCTATGTGGCCTTGTCCAAAGAGAAGATATTGTAAGACTGGGAGCTATTTTCTCTTTCGTCTTGATTAGAGCAATCACTTTTCTTGAAAATAATTGGAGAGAACTGTGTATTAATATCCGATTAGGTCAAGTAAGCGAGTGGATCACTGACCTTAGTTGCCGAGAATCGGTCTCTAAGATACTTTGAGAACCTAATCCCGAATTGGCGGATTTTAGCGAGCAGAAGTGCAGCCAGAAATCATGGGAAGGTATAATCCGACAACTTTGGGCCAATGCCAAATTTATTGAAAGTGTTTTCACAGGTCAGATGGCTCAATATGTTCCAACATTGGAGTTCTACTCCAACAAGTTGCCTCTGATTTCCACAACTTATGCGTCATCTGAATCATTCTTCGCGATTAATGTGAATCCTCTATGCAAACCACAAGATGTAACCGACACATTCATGCCCAATATCGCATACTTCGAGTTCTTACGTATTGATGAGGAAAAAAAAATGAAATTGTTGATCTTGCAAACGTGAAGTTAGGGCGTTACTATGCGCCACTGGTCACAACTTATTCTGGTGAGTTACATACATAAACTCTATGCAAAATGTTAAATATTTTCTTGATGAATATTCCCCTTTTTTGCTAGGTTTATACAGATATAAAGTGGACGATATTTTAGAAGTGATCGGGTTTCACGACAATACGCCTCAGTTTAGATTCGCACGTAGGAAAAATGTGGTTCTAAGCATCCAAACAGAGGCAACAACGGAAGAAGATCTCTTAAAGGCTGTGACTAATGCGAAGCTCGTTCTCGAATCTTCAGATTTGACATTGATGGAGTTCACAAGTTATGCTGATATCTCCACTGCTCCAGGTCACTACGTTCTTTATTGGGAACTCAAAACCAATAAATTCAACAACAACAATGCCACAACTAAACTCGATGAGAATGTATTGGCGGAATGTTGCTATGTGGTGGAGGAATCATTGGACGCTCTTTATAGAAAAGAGAGGACTAAAGATGGAAAAATTGGAGCTCTAGAGATAAGAGTGGTGCAAAATGGAACGTTCGATGCGCTTATGGATTTTTTCGTCTCTCGAGGTGGTTCTGTAACCCAATACAAGACACCCTTAGAGCATGTACATTAGTTAGAACTCCATTAAAAATTCTTAACAAATTTATAATACTAAATCAATCTTAAAGTTAGTTTAGAATTCCATACTTAATTAAAAAAAAAATTT